ACCCTCCTTCCTAAATCACTGCAGTTTCTTGATTCCTTGGAGCATGACCCATGTGTAACATCTGGGGAATCTCTGTAGTTATCAAAAGGATATCCCAGATGTTCGATGCAGAAACAGATTTTGCATTTCCTCCCAAGTTGCTTGTCTAATAGGATTCAATCTTAGCAGCCCTCTTCCTTCTAGTATTCTATTTCATAAGCTATGTTTAAAGTGATTGCCTTTTCACATACAGTCACTTACAAAATAATGGGTGTCATAAAGACATTAAAAAAAGATTGTATTAGGACTGGAGAGATGGCTCAGCATTTTAGAGCATATATTGTTCTTCCAGAATACCCAAATTTGGTTCCCAGAATTCATGTCACATGACTCACATCCTCCTGTAACTGCAACTCCAGAGAGATCTTATGCATTTAGTTTACACTCCCACATATATATGCCCCCACACACTCATACATTCATATAATTCAAATAATAAAATATGTATTTTTAAATGTTAATCTTTATTGCCTTTGTAAAATAGGGTGCCACCATATTGAACACATACTAGTCACAACTGTGATGCACTCGCCTCCATCTTTTCTATCATGTGTTTCTGTAAACCATTAGAAACAGAGAGCTGCAGGAGGCACCCATACCATAGGCTAGCTTGAAAGTTTTTCATTTGTGAATTTTGCAGCTAGGCAAAATTTTAAGTATTTCATCATAAACAGTCTCAAGATAATTAGAATGGATTAAATTACAAGAGAAATTCATTTAGTTAATCTTTCTTCTAATTAAAAAAATCCGTAGTTTAAGTAAAGTGTTTGTTTAAAAAAACACACATATTTTCATCGTAATCAGGAAGAGAGGCCTGTTTGGTCCTTGGTGATAGGACAAGGCATCTACAGGGTAATTAAAAGCTACCAGACCACGTTTCTCTAACTATTAAAACCCTGAAGGGGAAGTCCACACGTTTTCCGTGGCAGTAGCCAAAGAATTCTCCAGATGGCCTTCACTCTGGCCCACAGTGGCGTTGCTTTCTTTCTGTTCACAGATCCCTAAAGATGCTGTCAACTCCCTGGGTCAGCAAGTGTCAAGTGAAAAGGTCAGTTGAGGAGGATGCTTTACCAAGACAGCTGGGACAATAGTCAGAATGAGGCTGGTGGTGACAGCAAACTTTCTCAAGCTATAGGGGGACAGGTCCTTGATCCTTCTTAAATCCATTGTAAGACCAACAGACCCAGGTTGATCCTTCTTAAATCCATTGTAAGACCAACAGACACAAGCTGTCTGATTCCCACAACCCTACTTCACACACTAGGAACTATTTATATCAGGTGCACCACATGTCCAAGTTCCTGGCTCATCCCAATCTCCAAGTTGACTCCCCACTGACACCACCAGGGGTTTCTGAAGTTCCCAGGGAGCCACATATGTGTGAATCTAACCTTTTCAGATCTTTTCAAGCTCTATCTTTTCATAGAAACCAGTTGCCTACAATATCTTCATCCAGGACATCATATAGTACTGCCTCCCAGGCTCCATGCTGCGGGAGGCTGGGTGTCTTCAGTCCCAGCCACAGCCTTAGAGCCCACTATGAACTCCCATTTCACTCATACACTAAGCACTCTACAGCCTTACCAGCTGGCCCTAGGTTGCTTAGAGAGACTAGTCCTCCATTTCTGCCTTAGATGTGGTTGATTCACTGGGACATCAAATATCAAGTGCAAACCACTTCTCTCCTGTGTCTCAAGGTTTCGCCCAAGGCTAGGTATAGACCAAACACCATGGAGTCTATTTATATCCTCATTTCCAGTCATCTTCAGATGTGTCACAGAACCAAAAAAAATGTAATGAAAGACAAGTACAAATTCAATAAACCCTGCCCAGTCTCCGAATGCCAGTTTAGACTTAGTCAAGAACATCCCTACAACTGAACTTCCCTTCAGTTCAATTAGTAGTTGCTTCTATTTTCAGCCAGAAAAAAAAACCTGCATATCACTGTGTCTCTGGGATCTCTCTTCCATTCTAAACACACTTGAAAAGGAGTACGGTGTGGTAGGTGGGGTGCCTACACATCTACTAGGCCCCAAATTCTGAGTAGTTTCTGGACAGGTCTTATCAACTAGCATATATCAGAGCTAGCACTATATAGTTCAGCTCATACACCCCCTAAATGTCACTCTAAGGAAGGATTGCTGTACAAAAAAAAAGTTCCATAGAAGTACTGTCTTAGATCATTTAAAGAGCTAAGAATCCCAGGCTAAAACTCCCTAACGCAGCAGCAGCCATGCCTAGTCCCATTGCCAATGGAGTTGGTTAAAGCTTGGCCCAGGAGGTCATCTGTCTAAAGCTGTATGTAAGTGATGGGCTCTGATAAGTGTGAATTGCATTTCTTTATTTTTGAAATTATGTTTTAACTTCAAAAGGGATCGCCAGACGGCCCTGAGTAGGTGTCTAGAAACAATGCCAGGGGGTGGGGGAGTCTGAGAGATTATGAAATCATCACCTTGAAAGTACAGAGGAAATGTGTGTGCCCAATTTGATTCCAGTAGGCTATCAAACCACCAGTGCATCTGAAACACACTCTGTGCAGTAACATGAAAGTGAAAGTGTGTCTTCTGCATTGTGGAGAGTGCCCTCTCCACGTGGCCCTAAGGCAGGTTCTCTGCTCTGGTGTGGATAAGCCCAGGCAATCCGGCTAGCACTGATTATTGCAATTTCCCTGAACAGGGGAAAGCAAGTGAAGATATTGGAGGGGATATGAGAAACTAGTATTTTTTTTCCTATTAAACCAGAGAATGCAGGCAAGTCAACTTGCATCCCTTAAGCATATCGCTATCAACTTCTCACCATCCTTTGAATAGGAACTGAATTAACTTTTGATTTCCATATAATGGGGCCGAGAATGTCTGTTCACTTACTGACCTGCTCTATGGGGATCTGATAAAGGAAATGCATTCATAGCATACAGAAATCTAGTGCCGGAAACAGTTGACCCAAAACTAAGCCGTTTAAAATGCACATGAGAAACCGCTGCAAACTGTCACTATCTCACACATTCGGTTTGTAGAATATAACATCTTCCTCTCTGCTGTTAGCACTCTTGAGCAACACTTTACTATTGTCATTATTTGTGAGTTCGGAGGTTGGGGAGGTGTAAGGAATGTGCATAACATTGTCATTAAACAGGCCTGGCTCCAAAACCAGTCCCCATCCATCACATGCCACTTGGATCACTTTTTACAAGTAATGTATTTTGAATGAGCTTTGATTCTTCTTGTCTGGAGGTTGGGGATAGTAATCATTCCACCCTGCTGTTAGGGAGACTTAATTTTTAAGAAAGTCATAGCATAGTGCTTGGTATTCCATAAACATTAGCTTAAAAATTATTGACACCATACCTTCATACCTTTATCTCAGCTTCCCAAATATGTCTTCAAAGAGTACACAACTTAGACCAGAAAATATAGCAATTGGCTGTGCATGGAGAGAGGCCTAACATCCCACCAAAGAGCCTCCGAGCTAAACCTTGGGTGTTAAATGAGTGTCTGCAGCCTTCTCCTGCCTTGCTGTCCCAGGAGGAGGCCTATGGGTCACATGGGTCCAGTCCTTAAAGTAAAGTGAGCACACATAGCAAAAGTAGATGGGGATGCACCAAGGATCCTACCACCATCAGCAAGAACATGAATAAAAGTAATGCCAAGAAACCATCCATGCACCGTGCATGCCAAGTTTCATGTCCACACTTCCCATGTCTAGTTTGAACTGAGTTGTGATAAGTCTACTCAGCATTTATCGAGTGCCTAATTTATTCACTACCAGACGAAGTGTGACACTAGGGACCTCACTCTGTCAATGTCTCCAGGGTAACAAACATGGAAAATGGTTTGAAGGAGCAAAGGGTAGACTGTAGTACTTCAGACCTCGCCTGTCATTTTTTCCACACAAGACTTGGCTGTATTCTAACCCACGATCCCGTTCCTGGCATGTCTGGCAATAATTTTTTCACGTATTCTTCAATACTGAACCTTGCTTGTGTCTACCCTAAGAGATCCACCAATGTAGGGATGGAAGCCTTGAATTTTGAAGACGGGCTTGAATTCGTTTGTAGCACAGTGCTACTGCATAATGGAAAGTCAGGTATCAACCGTGTATATGCATGCAGATGATTCCCTAGTAAGTGTTAATATTTCCTCAATGGAGGAAGCTCAGCTAAAGCAAGCAAAGACGGCAACTCATTAAAATTTGATTTTCCCTCCTATCCTTTTTTATCTCTTAATCCTCCATATATGGCACAACTTGTTCTGTTAAATAACACTCATTAATTAAATCTCGTCTTCTCTTAGCTATATCTATATTTTTGTTTAGTATGAAAACCTTCAAATGCTTATGATCTAATTTAGTTGGATTACTGCCTGGACAGCTCGGAATAAGAAAACTTTGAGCTTTTAGGGTGGAATTACTGACAAGCGAATGGAGAGGGAGAGAACCCCGGCTCTTCTCATTTCTCCCTTGGTAAGGGGTGGCTGGGCAGATCTTTCCTCTGTAAGGGGAGCTGGCCTAGATTTGGATAATGAGGGCACTATGAATTCGGGATCTTTGTTGACATAGACAAAGTAAGGGAGGGCATAGCCAGTAGAAAGAAAGAAAAACTCAGACATTCCATGAACAGGAGGCAAGAGCAAAGTAAGTGAGCCCATTAAACAGACAGCAAGTGCATGGGCAGGAAGTGAAGAATGAATGCCCAAGCTGTGGAGGGCAGGCACGCGCCAGCTCCAACTGTGTGTTGCCATGTAGAAATGTAAGCCTCATCTTTTTCTAAAAAGGCTAGCTTTTCAACGGTTTCCAAAAGGCAAGGTGGTTGCGTTTATTCTCCCAGTTCCCCAGTGTTGGAAAAACAAAATCAGCGCTGTTCAAGCCGTTCAAATAAGACTGGGGACCAATGGCACGCTCTTCTATGGCCCTGACATTTGCCTCTAAGGCAGGGGTAATGGAAATTAGGAAACATCATTTACCTGGATTGAGACTGGACAGTTTCGGCTGCTTTTCTTTGATACTCCAGCCGTCCTTGTAAGCTGATGCAAGTCTCATGCCCATGGTACAATGGTGGTAATTTGCACTTCCATGGTGAATTTTCTCCAAGGAGCTCAAAAGACTTTGTGTTGCCTCAGTGCACCTCACAGCAAGCAGCAGCCCCTAAATACACAGTAATCAGCAACAAGAAGTATTTTACACAAGACTAGCTAGGTTGACTCACCGATTGAAATCTATGTATGGTCTACACCACTGGCAAAGATAGCATTCAAAAAGCATGATCAGGGCTTCTCATGGCCACCTCCTCCACCACTTTGTTTGGCTTCTTAGATTCCTCCCATCTATCCCAACAGACAGCTAGCTCCAAATTCCATCAATAAATACAGACAAGACAATGCCTGGTTCCTGTCGTGCGTATGAGTGTGTACATGTCTGTGTGTGCATGCGTGTGTGTGTGCCCACCTGACTGCTCAGCAGACCCAGCATGGTACATCCTCACCCATTGCAGCACGTCTCTGCACTTGTCATCGGTCTAATGCCATGTTCTCAAAGTGTTCGAGACCTAGAACTTCTACTTGGGGTACTACAGGGTTCTAGACACCCGTGTCCTACTAAAGGGGCCTTATAACCCGTGCTTCTTGGATCCCCTGTGTCTGTTTCCCTTCGTTAGACTGGTAGAATGACACTTATGATGGCCTTCCCTTATAGACCTGGTAATGCATGCCTTCTCTTCAGCTACAGTGGATTAACAGAAGTGGCCTGGCAAATTAGGCATAAGGGCCCAAGAGGTACAGTGGAGGCCAGGACCAGAATCCTTTCCCTTCCTGGGTTGCCTTGGATAGAGCAGCCAGGAAAATCAGACTGTCCCAAGAGGACTAGAGCTCTTCCACAGACAAAGCTTTCCCTCTGTGGCTATGATCGAGGGTTTACTACACAGAACCCTGTCCTGTCCTCTCCTCTGTGCTTCCTCGGCCTACATGCTCTGTCAACTCTACTGAGGGGGATTCCTTGGGCTTTGCAGGCATGACCCAGGGAGAAGACTCCAGTTCAGCAGTGTAAACCTGTTGATAATTTTCCCGGGACAGCACAGCACAAGTATTCTACATTTCCTAGACTGCTTGCTCTTCCTCCTAAATTGTCTCCAATCAGGCCACTGGTTCCTGGGAAGCACTCCCAGCATGACACTCTACTATAATCATCCACATCCTCTGCATGCAGGCATGCCATCAGCATCCTTCAGAGGCAGGTGCAGAACCAGGGGACACCTGGCCATTCGGAATGCATGTGTTGGGGAGGTACTAGACTCACTGGAACTACAAAGGCTGACATATCCACCTGCTTCCCATCTGATCCCTCCCATCAGGACACTTCCTCGGGAACAGAGGGGATGAAAACATTCAAGATCCACAGGGAATAATATTAGGCTTCCAAAATCAGGCCTAAAGTATAACCCTTCCCCTAGTAAATCAAAACGTGTGGGGAGGGGGGAAATATCCATGTCTTTAGAGACAGGAGTTTATCAAGAAGTTTACCTTTTTGCTACCTTGGGAGCCATCAGTTTGCACTTTCTAGTTAGGTGTTCATAATGGAAGTTCCTCAAGCTCTAACTGGGGAGCCACGGTTCTGTGTGCCCTCCTCCATGAAGCCTCTCAAGGTTCTAATGCATCTACCATACTTGATACTTGCACATCCATCCATGCAGCAATCAGGCATTGTGATGGGAAACCCTTTGCCGCATCGTGGGGGTGCCTGTATGCTAAAAAATGATAAGGTCAGTGAAACCATAGCTTCCTAGTGCAACCAAATCATCCAAAGCCAGTTTCAGACAGTTAGAAAAGAATGCTAGGTCAAGTCCACCAACTTTCAGGTGAACTGATGAACTTGACTCCTGAAGCCAAAGTGGGGCACTTAGGGAGCATCAGACAGACAGGGGAATCATTGGGGAGTTTGGGCTGATGAGGTTCCTACCGTGAGCCTCTAGGGTTGCAGGCAAAGCAGGAGTGAAATTCCACATGAGCCAAGCACCTGATAAGACCAGCGATCTCTTTCCATTGCCTCTAAATGAGCTCTGTGCTCTGAGGGTACCCTTAACTCCACATTCAAATTTCCCTTCCATCATCACCAGCGAGATTAGGTTACACTAAGTAATATGGCTTTAAAATATTTTCTGAGCAGTAAAAACAAACGATTGCGGTGTTATAAAATCAAATCTTCCAGGAGCCATTAAAATGTTACTGACACTGATCACAGCAAGGCAGAAAGCCACAAGCCAAGACTTTGTGGGGAAGGAGGCCGAAGCCCTGAAAACAGTATGAAGCTAGTGCATAGAGAGAGAAAGTAGAGCCAAGCTAAAATCACACACTGCTGGGGGCATTGCTTGAATTTCTCTCCCCTCATAGTCTGTGACTTTGTCCCTTTCTGTCAAAACCTTGACAATACCTCTGGCAATCAGGTCCTTTGGTTTGGCCAACCATGAGACCAGGCAGTACAATATGGATTCCTTGAGAGGGGACTACTTTCTCCCTTGCCATAGACCCTGGATCACAGCAGGTGCCCAGGGATTGCTGGACAACCATGAAATTCCCTGGGAACATGCCCTTCCCCCTTGCCCAGCTTCAGATTCATTTAAGATAAGGAGAAAGAAAAACCACATTGTATGTAGGAGAATAGCTAGGGAGGGAATAGGGAGAAGTCAGTGAGTTAGCTTCAATAATATTGTTCAATAATATTGTTTCTCAGCTGCCAAAATTATTAGGAGAACAGAGCTGGCTTCTAAGGTGGACCATCAAAAGGATGCACTGGATGCGTCAGGGGTTCCTCCTGAGTTTGGGAGGTATTCAGGCTTGAACAGATGACTTTCTTGTCTATGGTCTAGAGTATACATTCACAATGGGGGTCATATTACTTCCAACAATGAAAAATGGTTAAGAAGGGGTAGAAACAACTCACCTCTCTTACATGTTAAACATGTATGCAATATGTCATACAGTATGTCTACCAACCAATAACATGAATATCTCACAATAAAGAGAGGAATTAGAAGGAAAATATAAAAAGAGGGAAAGAGCTAATAAGAGAAGTCAAAAGATTTGAATCTGGTAGAAGAGACAGTTTCTAGAACTTCAGAGGGAATGGCCTCGGTGACTCCAAGGAAGATGTGCTATCAATGGGGACACTTTCTGCCACCTTCTGCTTCTGTTTTTAGGTCCTCTTTGGCAGATTAACTTTATGTCAATTCAGTCTGGAGTAAAAGAACCAGACAGGCCAAATAGTTGGGTGTGTCACTACTTCTAATCTACCAACTCAACTGTGTTTCCCTTTCTAGATATCACCAGCTAACCGTTATTGAGTACTAACACAAAGTTTGCCACGTTCTGCTAAGTTCTTCGCCATGTCTTCTTCCTCCACTAAACTTCGAGTTGACATTATGAGGGGGAGACTATTGGCACCCTCATTTTACACAAAAGAAATCTGGCTCACAAAAATGAAGCAATATGTGAATAGCCAAACAGTCCAAGAAAGGGGCAACTGAGTTCCAAATCCCATTGACCATGTGTGATCATTGCCTATTTTGATCACTTGCTTTGTCCCCAGGTAAGCAGCAACAACAGGGTTTCTTTGGAGTCCAGCAATGCGATCACCTGTTGGTAAAGTCATCCCTTGCAAGAATGTGCCTTTGGGGATTAAGGACGATGCCCCATTACCTTGACCAGTGTCCCTATTGCCAAAGAGTGCACCAAGTAATTTCAGATTCTATGACTGACCTGACGCCACTCCATATTGGCACAATTGGCCAACTTGCCTAAATTTCAGTTGACTTTTCTATCAGAGTCCACATTTCCACCAACTTTTCATTAAATTAATTATTCAAAACAATTCAGAGTTAGCGTTCTCGCAGCAACTGTAACTCTGCCATGACTAGATTAAGGCGTAAATTGAACAGCATGTTTTGCAATAAAGTTAATTTTATATTCACCAGAGAACTGAGTTATAGTTGCTGTGGGAACCATCATTTTAAATCTCTTGACTTTGGTGCATTTAAATCCTCAGCCACAGGACTGCACACAGTAGCATATTTTGCATGGACATTTAATTTGCTTCACAATGTGGCCTGGCTACCCTAAACTTAGAAATCCTGTCAGAAACTAACATTGCAGCCTCATGATTTTCCCAGCCTCCTTCCTTTTCCCAGCACCTATAACACTGTACAGAGAAATATCCAAGGAACCAAAAGGATCACCCATTTTATCTTGAAATTGCCTGCTTGGGGGAGGTGACTTTCTTTGGAAACACCAAGTCTCAGGCAATGTCAACTAAAGCAGGCAATGTCATTGCATTTATGTGCAGCCAGGATTCTCATCCAAGGGTATTTTTGGATCTGTGCTGTATTATTCAGTACACATGGGGTGACCTCTGAAAGCTCCAAGTCTTTGCATTGCATGTGCCATTAATCATGCAGGCATGCACAGCCATAGATCAGAACTTATTGGCGCCCGGGAAAAGCTAAGCAACTTTTCCCACAACCACATAAAACCCAGGCATCTCTAAATCAAGAAGCATTGCAGAGCCTCCCTGAAAGGTACGTTCAGCAGAACCGTAATAGGTTTGGGTCTGGTAGTGAGGGGATCAGAAGTGGATGCCAAGGCAAAGTCAGGCCTGTTCTGGGGTGGAAGATAACGGAGGAAGAAATCTCTGAGATGGTTAGAGATGCAAGCATTTCGTCTACAGGGATTATCGATTTCTGTATCTTTATTGGAAAAATCAGTCATGCTTTCTGCCTCCTGGGGATTGCTCCACCGCAATTTGGGAGTGTCTATGTGCAGCAACCCTGCAGGTCAGCAGCTGAGTAGCAGCTCCCATTCACACGCTCAATTATCCATTTAGCTACAATGTGACTTAGCAGAAACAGACTGCTGTTTTGCATGTGAAAATGTATTTGAAAAGAGGGGATTTAGTTTCTCAGCAAATGAGAAGATTTCAAAGAGGGAGCTTGCCTTTCTCAGGGTATACACATTATGCAAAACTGAAGAATAGCACCTAACAATAGCATACACTGGATTGTGGGAATTCTGAGGACCATTCTCTACTCTCTTGGAAAACAAAGGCCTCCCTACTCTTCATGCTGTGGCACCCTTGCTTGTTCTTCCTGCTCAAAATTATTGCAAAACTTGTACACAAACATCCTGCAGCAAGCAGTACCCTCACCCAATCCTTTGAGTGATGTTAAGTGCTGAGTTGGGAAAAAGAGTCAGTCACAGAATTCAAATCATTTCAGAGCTGACTTCAGCTTGCCTGGGTCACTGGGATGGGAAGGCTGAATGACAGATGATTGTGGATTGATGACTAAGATGGGCATGGAGGATGC